GTGGTCACGTGACATTTCCCATCAAGTCGCCACGCCGGCGTGCACAGCTCCCTCTTGTGGTAGCTCGAAACATATTTGCAGCGCAGCAGTCTATCGCTAGATTTCATTTTCTCATGGCTAAATTGCGGTTACTCATTGACTCTTCCTCGTACTTTACAAAAGTAATGAAATTGCTTTGACATTAATTGGCAACACTTTGAGAAAGTGATTCGTGCTCATTTTATTTACAGTATAAGTACCAGAACTCCGATCTTCCTGTTTATGACACAAACAGCCTCATGCGCCTCAAAGTGATACTGGTTCACATGACAGAAGTGTTAAACTTGATGAATAGCTTCCTCTTTAGATGTAACTCTGAGACTCACCGGTTTCGCGGCTCATTCATCAGTGAAGGTCCTTAGTGAAAGGGTGACATGATTCCGTCTTTGTGATTTCGAAAAAATTTATAGACGGTATAAGTAGCTTAAGTTTGTTATACCGAGAAATATTAGCAACACATTTTTTGCCACCGACATTAGCGATCACCTACCTGTCTTCCTGCGTAAAGGAAAAAGAATTCGTTCGAACGATATCACTAAGGTGAAACGTCAGCTAATATCTCAAGAAAAACTCAACCTCTTTAAGAATCGTATTCGCTAGGTGGATTGTAGCCGTATTTACAACGAGGCAGCTGCAGATGATGCTTTTAGGTTTCTAGAGCTCTTCATATCACTATATAATTTATCGTTTCCATAGTAGAAATATCAAATGCAAAAGTGCGCGTAAACCCTGGATGACTAGACGATTAATTAGACACGTTAAAAATAATGAGAAATTATTTGAAACGTTTATTAAAAACAAAGATCCTAGCGTGCTAGCAGAATACAAGTCCTTATGCAACCGACTAAACAGGGAAATTAAATCGGCGAGAAACGTCTATAACAATAATTTCTTTCATCACCATTTTTCTAGCAATCTCAAGGAAAAATGGAGGCGGCTAAATCTGCTTCTGAATACCCAAGTGATCACAAGCTTAACAGTTAACGGAACTGAGCTATCGGGTTCAGATCTTGCCAAAGCATTCGATAAATTTTTTTTCGACGGCAGGTTACAGCCACTACAATTCCGCCATTTTTGGTTTTCTAAGTGATAGGTTGGCGGAATCAGTATTCTTTTAGCCGACTGACGAGCTTGAGGTTTTCTCAATTTGCAAAAGTCTAAAAGATGCGAATAGCCTTGACTCCCATTATATACAAAGTTGTGCGGTGAAATGTGTTTTGCGAATAATTACACCATGCCTGACACATATTTATGATACAGGGCACTTTCAAGCAGCAATGCAGCAAGCTAGGGTAGCCGTGAATTATTAAAATAGGAAATAAGAGCGACTTCGGTAACTATGAAGCAATATCTGTACTTCCGTTTCTTTTTTTTTTTCTTTTTTTAAGGGGTAAAACGAATAATTCATTGCCGCTTCAGTAACGATTTTTTAAAGCATTCTCTAATATCCGATAGCAAGTATTGGTTTACACAAAATAGATCAATGAAACATGCCTTGCGTGTCCAAAAAGAACACATTTTAAACATTTTGAATTACCATGTCTTATCTTGGTATTTTTATTCGCCTTAGCAAAGAATTTGATACACTGAATCATGAAATACTTTTCGCCAAGCTCGAGCATTACGGCGTACGAGGACACGCTTTCAACACTATAAAATCATATTTAAGCTCGCGATAAATATACGTTGCCATAAATCACTCTCGCTCCGATTCCCCTCAAATTTGCAATGATGTCCCTCAGGGAAGCACCCTTTGACCACTTTTGTTTAATATGAATATAAATGACATTTCCAATAGTAGTACTCTTTCGTAAAATACATTATTTACGCTGCTTTTTCTTTTCCTCCTACGACGTTGGACAACTAACTTTGACTGCTAACCGAATATTGACATCATTAACGTGGTGGTCATTAGTCAACTCAATGAAAGAAAAGCAAAGCTGCAATATTTCGTCCTAAAGGAAAACTTGTAATGCGCCCACCGCCCTTAGTTTTGAGGAATATCGTCATCGGGGTACTTAGAAACGTTTAGACCTCTCGGTGTAAGTTTTAATGCAACGATGACATGGGACAACCACATAAACGAGATCTGTCTCGCCTTTTTTAAGGTTGTTTGAATTACCTCATGTATTAAGCATGTTCTACCTGAAAAAAAAAAAAAGAAAGAAACTTACTTTGCATTACGCTTTCTGTTATTCATATTTAAGCTACTGTTTCCTTCTCTGGGGTAATACCGCAGCATCCAGTAACCAGAAGCTTCTGATCTTGCAAAAGAGAATGTTGCGTGCTACTACGAAAGCTTCAAATAGTACGCCAACCAGGCGGGCTTACTTGCAGTTTAAAATTGTGCCTGTATATAATCTATTTGAATATAGATTTGCGTGTTTTACAAAAATATATTAGGAAAAAGTTATCATTTTCATTCGCGTATAGTTTCTACTGTGCCCCACAATACGCCTCATGCAACCAGGGAAAAAGACACCTTCGTTCTACCTAGATGCCAGAACAAATCATGGCTTTACTATGTTACGGTATATATGCCTAAGGTTTTGAATGCACCTCTATGTGATCACCTGAGTGGCATGTCTTCTTATGCCCTACGGAACGCTCTTCTATATTTTGTCCATACATCGGCTAAGTGTAACATGCGTAACATACGCTCAAAGTAATGTGTTCCTCAATATACTTTTCATTTTCTTTCTATTTCTTCTATGCCGTGTTTCCACTGCTGACTTGTAAGGGCGGCGAGGAGCAGTGTACGACACTGCTTTTTTCTCGCCACCCTCACTTTGCGCTTCAAGCTGAAATAAACGCTGACTGATTAAGAGTCGGGTCATGGGTGCTCGTTCTTACAAGAACTCATCATATGAAACGTTTTCCTTCAGACTCGGACGCAGTTTAATTTTTTTTCTTCTTCTCACCAATGGACGCATTTCCTGGCATTCCTTACGAAGAGAATCAGGCCAAAACACCCGAAGAGCCCAAGTTAACTATGTGTGCTGTAATTCTTGTTCAGGTCAGTAACGACAAAGGATATCGTAACAATTTTGTTGAATTGATTGTCCTGCCATGCCCTCGACTGTTGTTTCAATGTGTATGTGAATACTTTGCTCTTAGCAGAGTACTTTAAGGACTCTATGGTGACGTTGAATTAAACCCGAGACCAGGCCAGGAGACCATGGAGATGCTAGGCTAAAAATATGAAAAGGAGACTGAAATCGCGAATGATATAAAATGTCTTTAAACCTGTAAGCTAAACATAAACAAGACACTAAAGACCACTGAAGGTAGACTGTTGAAGAGCACAATAGTTCACCAAAGTGAAAGGTTTGTTGAATTCGAAGATAGACCCCGCCGGAATAACCTTGTGGTTTTCGGTGTACAAGAGGAATCCAGAGAAACAAGAAGAGTCTAGAGCAATATGTGCTTGACGACATCTTTAACAAGAAGCTATGAGTGTCCCTAACGTCACTAGAAAGAATGCACAGGATAGGACAGATCACGCAGGGTAAAAACAGACCTATGGTCCTCAAGGTATTCAACTACAATGAAGGAACTGCTGTGTCAATCTCAGATGACTATTCAAGAGAGACCTTGCGGACGAGGAACTGTGGGAGTCGGCACGGCAAAAAAAAAAGGGGGGGGGGGGGAGCGAAGGTTAAGCTAAGTCATGCATGACAAGCTTTATATTATAAAGTAACCTATAATAGCGCGATTGAGTTTTTTTATCTGCTGCATTTTAATCACTTTTAATGCTGACACGCAAACTTATATAAGACCCCAATGGAAGGCGGTCTAGACGTTCAAACATTGAATTATATGTTGATCTATATCTAGACTTAATATTTAGAAATAGTATTTTCTTGTGAAGACCGTCGAAGACTGGATTATATTACCCCCTAGTGTTTTCATTGATGTCCCTTCTGTCGAAGCATTTTAAGGAAAAAGTGTTGCACTGGTTTTCTGACGAGTAGTTGCGTTTCTTTTTTCTCTGTACAGCAGCAGTGTAATTACAATTATTCAATGTATAACTTCTTGCGTTGTGTATCATTGTAAATTTTATCGCATCCCCTCCTGCAATAACACGCAAGAGTTCGCAGTATTTGAAATAAAAAGATAAAATGAATAAATTGCGTCTGGCGCACTGACGTCAAATCAGCTGCCATTGAGTGGCCTTACTGCTGAGGGCTTTGCTGCTGGCAACTGACCATCTAGTTCACGATCGTTGAGCGTGGAAGATGCTGAACAAGCAGCTGTAAAAACGCCTGTTTGCTAGAAGCCTCGGCAAGCGGCGTCATTGTCGTTTTATGCGTCAGGAGTCCGCACCCAGCGACTCGGCGAACTGTCCGTGTTCGTCCTCTTATATTTCGACTGTTTTACTTCGAGCAGGCGGAGAGCTTCAACTTGTCGGAGTAATCACTCCGCCTGCACATTGCAGTTGAGTAAACAGATTTTCCTGGTACACGCGCGGCCGCCGTTCGGAATGGCGGCAATAACCACGCGGTAGCCAGTCATAAAACTTACCGAGTGGCGGTGGTGAAACAGGGTCAAACAAACGCGTTTCCTGTTTGCCTTTGTCTTAAAACGCCCGAGCGGTCCTTCGAAAAACAAGCTGATCAGAAAACGATTGTTTTGCGGTCAAAAATAAAAAATAAAAACAAACAAACGTAAACCTATTTTATTTGCCCCTGTTGGCCTGGCGTTAGGCCAAACTTTTTTTTTTTTTTTCTTGAACTGACCTTTATTTAAAGGGGGGGAGGAGGTGCAGGTGCATGTTATATAGCAGCACGTGCACACTTTCACTAAACATACGAGGTACAGTTTTAGGAGGTCTCCAAACTAAAAACGGAGAGCGGGAAGCGCGCACATTTAGTGGAGAGTTTTCCAGATGTGATGCTCTTTGTCCCGCTTTCTGACGAAGGGGGGCCGGAGGGGGGGGGCGGGGGGGGGGGGTTACTCGGATGGGGCCTCAGAATGCGTGCGTGACGAAACCTCTGGACGCAACCAATCATAGAAACGAGGAACGTGGAGAGGAGGTAAAGGCAATGGAGCAGGTGGACAGGGACATTCTCATTGGTCTATCGTGAGTGACGTCTTTCCAACGACTGACTCGACGTCACTCGCACCCTCTCTCCCCATTGTCTCCGTTTTGCTCCGACACAAAAATCATATCCAAACCAAAAAACGGAAAGAAGCGTTCCCACTTCCGGCTAAAAGTGCACGCTTCCCGCTTTTGGTTTGGAGACCTCTTTACACGGAGAGAAACTTAGAGAGAGGAGGCGATGAGAGCGAGCGGGGACGCCACAGCGCCAAGCTCTGATTGGAAGGATTGGCGGGTAGACGCAAATACTATGTGCCTTTGTCCCTGCCCGCAGTCTTCCACCGAATCAGAGCGTGCAAGGTGTGATGTACCGGTTAATTGAGGATAATGCGAGGACATATTTATTTAACTGTTTAGGTTACAATTGGCTGGTATTACGAGAAGCGTCTTTTCTGGTCTGCGACCGCGCCCAGTCTGTGGCTTCCATTCCAGGCGTGCCGTGCTTCTCCGTGGCTCGCTGCACGACTCTCTCCTCCCCGTGTCTCGGGTCGCATTATTGGTTGCATCCGCCGTTGTTAGGGCTCGATAGTTCGTGTTTGCTATACACGACGAACACGCACGTAATACACGGCACGAGGGCGTCGCCTGCACCACGCGAAGCGTCTCCCGTTCGAACGCTGGACGCCGGTGTTCGGTGTTCGAAGACAAAGGCAGCCGGCCTTTGTGTGTATCCACCAATCGCTTCAATCACAGCTCGGCGCAATGACGTCCCCGCGTGCTGTCGGCTCACCCGCTCCGCCAGCATCCCTCCGTACTCTGCCGCCAGAAGCGGTGTACTGACCCTTGCGGATATCTGAACCGGAGGGTAAAAACAGTGGCCAGACAGATTTTCTAGGCTTAACCAGGCCCCTTCGTTTATGTCCTTTTGTGCGTGAGTCTTTCACAATGGTGTCGAGATTGACAAACCATTTCGTCGACCAACACCATCTAGAATAATCAAAGCCCGGGAACAGCCTCCTTTACCTCCACGATATGTCATCCCATTATGCTTGGTTTCAGTTTAAGTCCAGACGCAGCCGACGCTACGAGGTAATACAACCAATCTAGCAGCGCGAAAAGCGCAGGAGTGTAGCGTGTTTCTTTGGTTCGAGACGGGCGCCTGGCTTTCGTGAGGAGTCCCCTTTGTGCAGTGATCGCCCGGCGGGGCTGCGTGGCCGTGAGCAGTCGGGGGACAGGGGACCGGCGCATCGGGCCGTCTCCAATTTCAGGGTCAGTTTGCGTACACTCATTGGGCCGTTCATGGCGCGTCCCATCCCGCGTCGTCGACCTGTCGGGGTTGTACCGGAAATCGGCTATTGTGGACACAAGACGTAACGTAACGACTTCCATGTACGTTTGTGGGGGTCGATTATCGGGATGTTTACGGAGACGGCGGCGGAAGGCCGTTTTGGTTTAGTGGCGCCAATTTGAGTTGCTATTCGACTTTGCTTGTCGGCACATGTGTAGCCGCCCTTCGGCGAGGACAATCCGTGTTAGAGGAAGAGAGAGAGAGGAAGAGATGAGAATAGCTATCCACTACGAGACTTGAGAGGAGACGCATCGAGAGCGATGCAAGAGGACTGGGACGGAGTGAAAGTCGACTAAAAGTATTGAGAGGAGTTGAGATGGAATTTTCATCCAGAGCGATGCGGAGAAGCCGAGTGGAGAAAGTGCAGAGGTGTCACTTAAAGAGTCAAACGGCGGAGGCCATGGAATTTTGAGAACGAATGAAATTTACCTATGTTGTAATTTTTGTGTAGATATCCCTGTATATTAAACCATGTTATTCAATCCTAAAAGTCCACGATTTCGACATCCCTTAAACCAAAGAGGAGAGACCGGTGGCAGGCAATCGGCTAAAACGACGTGAGCACAGACCCCGAAGACAACGAGCCACTTCACGTGTCGAGACAACGACAGACTTCGCGTCACATGACAACGAGAGACTTTACGTCACGTGACAACGAGACGATAAACTTTACAATGACCGATAATAAAACACGCACAGAAGCATGGTGCTAACTTAGCGATATGGCCCGAGCCTGACGCCAAGCGTATTTCGACGCATTAACTGGGCACGGAGTCCCGCCCCACGCAGACGCAGCACTTGTGTCCAACCTCAATGTAATGACGCTAAAATGCTAGTGCGAGGGCTTTTGATTATTCTAGGGGGTGTTGTTCGTTGGAAACACTGAAACACTGACAAAATGCGATTGGGTAACGCCGTGATAGTTTCATTCTGCAATTTGAACGTGTCCCTGAAAGTGAGGAACCGTGAAACTTTGCGTTAGTATTTGGGAGATTCGTCACAAAGTTCCTCGAAATGTATGAGGCAGCCCATGGAAACGAAGCCATGAGCTCAACTAAAGAACAACTTTAACCCCTTAACCGTTTTAAGTTTTGCGGAAACTTCTGATCCTAAATCGCTTTATTCTTGTCTTCGAAATTGCAGTTGTTGCCTTTAATATTAAGTTTCAAGCAATAAACAAAATGGAAGCAAAATAGTTTTAAAAAAATCAGTGCTGCCATCTGTTGTGAGAGCTTCAAGCTAAGTCATGAGCGAGCCTGGTTTGTCTAAAACTAGGGTGCCTCGATCGCGTCTCCGACTGGTGTGTTTAGCGTCCTATCCCGCCCATACATCAAAAGTGGTCCCGAAGTGGCAACAAATGACGTCACAGAAGGCTACCGTTACAAGCGATCTGCGCATGTATCTCGTCGCGCGACAGACCGGCTACTGCACTAGGAAAACGTAAGGTTTCTAGATACTGGGAAAGTAGCGCCAAGCTTCCCGTATACTCGCCTTTTTGGTTCATGGAATGAGCGGTTTCTCCTTGACCTCTCCATTCTTGGTAAGCCGATTCAAATTTCCGGTGACAAGTTTCTTTATAAATAGATTTCTTGAATAGCGAGATATTGTGATTTACACACAGGCGAAACAAGCGCACATGTTCGAGCAGCTAACAGATTCTCCATCGGTGTTTGGCGGTATTAAAAACTAATTGTTCTGTCTCAAAATACGCAAGAGCAAAAATACCACTGTAAGAAACCTCTGCAGATGAGCATGACTGATGAGTTGATTGGATGCATAGTGTCAAGGACGCTTATATTCGCAAGGAGCGCTTTCAGTGCGAACATGCTTCATAGCAATCTCAGGCTAATGGTTCAGTACGACCCTTTCCAAGCTTTGAAGATTTGAATGGACTCAAAAGGCGATTGGCCGTAAGGCTGAGTCAAGCTCCTCTTGAGGCCCTCCTTCCGCAAGAAAACGTGCGTGCATGTTGTTAGATTTTGGCTTACAAAAACTCTCCGGGAGCTTGGCAGGCAAGGCGGTGTTGGTTGTAGCCGTTGGAAGATCTCCCTCACGTTTTCCAAGTATGTCTGAGACGGGAGTGATGCAAATGTCTTGGGTGCTTCGAAGAATTCTCCGGGTAAACGAAGTGGTGCACCATACACCAACTCTGCGGAGGAGCAGTTCAGGTCTTGTTTGTATGTAGACCGAATGCCGAGCAGGACAAGAGGCAAAAGGTCCACCCAGTGAAGGTGTCCGTCTCGTGCCGTGATAGCCGCTTTGAGCTGCCGGTGTAAGCGTTCCACCATGTCATTAGCCTACGGGTGGTATGCGGCGGTGTGGATGTGGCGGGCCCCGAGCAGGTCAGTTAGGGCCGCAAACAAGGTGCTCTGGAACTGGCGTCCCCTGTCTGTCGTTACTGTTGATGGGCAACCGAAGCGAGAAACCCACGTCCCTACAAATGTTCTTGCGACGGTCGCGCTGGAATTGTTTGCGATTCACCCATGGCAGCAATGGCGTTCGTGAGCTGCTCCAGTTTGGTTTCTATGTTAAAAGCCCGTGTTTCCCAGGCTGTTGGTTGCGGTGTTGCGACAGAACTCACGGTCTGTGAGAAATATTCCGCGGTGCGGTTGGGGAGCACTGCCAGGCGGTCTAGGGACATGTCGTCCGCAGCTGCCAGGATCATGCGCATGCCTTGACGAAGCTTCTGGAGGAACGATTTCCGCAGTATGGAACCTTGTGCTTCTGAAGCTAGAGGTCCCAACAGCTGCTTCATGCGGTGTAAAAGTTGCGTCGGGCGACGATCGCCCAGTTTTTCGGCGGTGAGGAGCTGTTGGATGCGGGAGCTCTCTGATGTCATTGTCCTGGCGAGAAGTATTGTCTTCAAATGGTCGTAGGCATCTTCTCGTGGCGGTAGGGCCAACACGTCGTCGAGCTGGTCTGCCACCTCCGTTGGTAAAGAGGCGACGACGTGGTAGTAGCGCGCCATTTGCGTTGTGATCCTTCTCGGGTGGAAACGGGCCTCGACCTGGGTAAACCAGACTTGCGGGTTCTTAGGCCAGAACGTTGGTAGACGAACCTCGATCGTAGCGAGAGCGGAGTCACCAGAGGTTGCTGTCATGTCACCGTCGGAAGATCGTTGCCTTGATCCATGTTTAGCTTGGATCCGGCGTCCGAGGTGTACAAGTGACGCGGTTCAAGATTCCGGGTCATAAGTTTGTAGGAAACACGTCAAGCGACTCCGATGTCTCGGATGGAATGTCTTTTTAATCACGCGCGCTCGCGACCACATCACCGTTTGTGCTTGGCGATGGTGCCGCAAGCTTAAAGGGAAAATAGAAAACAACAAAGCATGGGGCCCCTACAGAAGGCAATGACGCTATTTTTCCAGGATCCAATGACTTCAGGATATCGTACCCGCCCAATGTACCCGCCTTCAGAACGCCATCACTTTCGCGCGGCAAACACCGTTACCGTCGTACCGCGTCTCCTTCGCCCGCCGGACCCCGGCCCCCCCCCCCCCCCCTTCCCCCCCCCCCAAATCTCTTTCCTTTCCAAAATGAAATCGAAGCTGAATGAACTAGCGCTTCGACACGGTCACGGAGAGCCCATGACACACGAGTGGTTGAGGCTACTGAGACCGCTGAGTAAGTGCAGAAGGGTGTATAAGGCGAGCAAGTTCGTGCGCTCCTCGCGCGGAGGGTTATACAGTGACGTCGCGACGCCGAGCTCTGATTGGACGACTGCTCCCGGTGGGTCTGCGGCGCTGCCGCACTGGGGCGTCATTTGCTACACTTCGTTGACCTTATGTTGTACCGCAGCGAAGGCTAGAAGCGCGAGCTCATAGCGTTGGCAGCTGCTTTTAAGTCACGAGAGCTTGTGCCGCCGGGATGTACCCCAGAGCAAGGAGCTCGCGCTTGTAGCCTTTCCTGCGGTACATCATAAGGTGAAACAGAGTATAGTCGAAGCTAAAGCGCTGGAAGGATTTTATGAACAAGTATCGCCAAGCTGGTGCATGCTGGGACGCACTTGAGCCAAAAATGGCGGAGCGTCGCCGCCAATCTAGTTTGGCACGGTGGCGCGGCACGGCATCTACAGTAGAACAATAGTAGCGTGTTCGCAAACGTTGGCGCGTCATCGGCAGCCACAGAAGACCAATGAGAGCGCGCGCGTCTGAATGTGCGATGCAACAGGAGCCAAAAATGGCGACGCATCGCCGACATCCAATAGGAGCGCCCGCAGCACGGTCAAACGATGGCGGTACATGAATAAGTTAGGATATCCAGGGGGATCGGTGGCCCGGGAGATTGAGCGTGCGTGCCGAACGTGCAAGACGTTCGAAACATGAGCTCCGTGGAAGCGTCTGCAACGGCCCTTGCTGGCCGCGGTTCTAATCACTCCGGTGAATCGACGAACGATGACTATAAAATTGTTTTACCACAGATGCCTACAGGAATTACGTGTGAAACATCGGTGCTTCTGCACTGCGAATTGAAGGGACGCCCCTACGGTATCCAGGATTTTCGACAAGAGATGGCCAGGTGCGGCGCACTCGGCGACATCGCAGCACTTGGTGCGTACCAAAAGAATCATGTTTGGATGGCTACCCTCCGAACGGCAGAAGCAAAGAGACGACTCGTGGACGCCAAAGAACTGCAGGTGAAGGGTCTTCGGTGCCTCGTCGTGGATCTCAGCATCACGGAGGTACGGCTTCGTCTCCACTGGATCCCCTATGATGTGCCGGACGACGTTGTGCGTAAGGTATTGGAGCCGTATGGCAAGGTCCTGGAAGTGAGCCGGGAGAAGTGGAATGTTGAAGGCTTCCAAGGGATCGAATCAACGACCAGGTGTGCGCGGATGACACTGAACGAAGGCGGCACGGCCAATATCATGCCACACCAGCTTCGGATCCAAGGTGGTAACGTACTTGTTATGATACCTGGACGGGCGCCCTTGTGCTTACGCTGTAAGCGCACAGGTCATATTCGACGAGAATGCAGGGCGCCGAAGTGCTCGGAGTGTTTTCGCTTTGGGCATGATGGCGCCGAGTGTGTCAGGTCGTACGCCAGGGTGGCCAGCGGGGCCGGGACGGCCGAGACCAATGACCACGCCATGGATGCCGAGGAAGCGGAGCGTACTATCCAGGGCTTGGCGCCAGAAGCTTTAACCCCTGCCAAAGAACGCAAGAGTGAAGGAAGCAGCTCCTTGGAGGCAGCCAGAGAGAACGGAGGTCAACCGGAAGGCGCACCTCCCAGCGGTGCCGACGTGAAGCCCTCTGATGCCGGAGCAGACAAGGAACCGAACGACGCAAGCCCCGACGGACCTTCAGATATGGACGACACCAGCGAGTCGACTAAGAGAGCCTTCGATGACGATACGGCGGCAGGAGACGGAGCACGCCAACAACACCCCTGGATGGAACGCACGAAGAAGGGGCGTTACCAGCCCGCGCCCAACGATCCTAAAGAGGAGCGACGGCGCAGGGAAAGCAAGTAAGGCGTTCTTTGCCTGGTTTCCATGTGTTTAAGATTGCTGCACCAAGACAACTTCGACCCTGACTGCTTAGGTTTTCAGTGTCTGCACCGATGCACAGCGCATGATTTGTGAGTCCCAATCAGCCATTACAGTTGCAACGCTGAATGTTCGTGGTTTATGCACTAGGAAAAAGCAGTACCAAATACAGCGATTATTGTCGAAAGAGCAACCCGATTTCTCGCCGTTGCAAGAAACTAAATTGGCTGAGGCGGAGCAGGTAGAGGAAGCAGTCAGGCCTTTCATGCCTAACTACGAAATCAGTGTGACGCATCCAGTTGGTCATTCGGCAGGGTGTTTCCTGTTTCTGAAGAAGTCGGTACCGTTCTCGCAGTTATGCGTTACTACGGATACCGAAGGACGTTTCATTATGTGTGATTTTGTGCTAACGTCAAATCAATTTAGGCTTATTTGCATTTATGCCCCAAATGTGACAACTGACCACGCTTTATTTTTTGGCGGTTTACGTCGGTATCTTGATTGCGATAAAGCCCTAGTCCTTGTGGGGGACTTCAATTGTGTTGTACGACAGTTGGATAGATCGCCAATAAGACGGAACGCTGATAAGAGTGAGCTACTTTTGGGCGAAATGTTGGAGGATTTTGACTTGGTTGATGTGGGCACTGTAAGGAACGCGAAGGAAATGCGCTTCACCCATTTTCAAGCTTCGTTCAGTGCGCGTTTGGACAGGGTGTATGTTTCTGCCCCTCTAGCAGAACATTTAGGAAAGTACCATGTCACTCCAGTCATTTTCTCAGACCACAGTCTGGTTATCGCGACGATAGGCGACAGAGCACCTGAAAAGAAAAAGTTTAATTGGAACCTATGGAAACTAAACATAAAGCTTCTGAAAGACAACGTCTTTTTGAAAAACGCAGAACAGTTTTTGAAAGATGCTTTTAAAGAGCCGGGAGGGGACATTTTCGAGAAATGGGAACTGGCAAAACAAGAAATCAAGGCAATCGCCATTGAGAGGTCGTCAGTTCTTTCGTACAACGCCCGGTGTGAGGAACGCAGTTTAAATAAGGACTTAATAGAGCTGTGTAAAGCAAAATGCGAAAGACCCGGTAATGGGGTAAAAAACGTGGAGTATGTCAGAGAAAAATTAGATCAGCTCCACCGCCAGCGCTATCGTGGTGCAGTAGTGCGCGCCCGTGCAGAAAAATACACGATGGGTGAGCAGCCCACTAAGCGTGCCTTGGCAGACGAGACGTTCCGAAGTGCGTAACTTAGTTCCGAAGTTACGCACTTCGTTCCGAAGTGCGTTCCGCACTTCGAAACACTCTTCGGAACGCACTTCGGAACGCACTTCGGAACGAACTTCGGAACGCACTTCGGAACGAAATAGCCGAAATTGAATTCAAGCAAATGATTATTACGGATCCCGAGAAAATAGCACAGGCCTTCCTCGAGCATTACACACAGCTTTTTGCTAACAAAGCGCAAGGGTGTCATACGGACATTTATGCCCAGCTTTTAGAAAAACTGCCAAGGCTATCGAATGATGAACGCGAAGAGCTTGAGCAAGAAATTACGATCCAAGAAGTGGAGCGCGCAATCGACGACCTGCCGAACTCTAAGACGCCGGGACCGGATGGATTGGGCGCAGAATTTTACAAGCACTTTAAGACCCTAATAGCTAGTGTTTTTTTGAAGGTCATTCATACTGCCTATGAAAGAAAATGTTTGCCCTTTTCGTTTTCTCGTGCCTACACTGGTCCTGGTACCGAAATCTGATGACACCGTGAAACTACGCAGCGTCACCGGTTATCGCCCAATAACGTTATGCAATACCGATTACAAGATTTCGCGAAAATTCTGGCGCGTCGCCTTCAAGGTGTCGCATGTGAGATAATAAGTGAGCATCAAACGTGTGGGATACAGGAGAGGACTATCTTGACAAATGTGCATGTGGCTCGTAGCGTCCTGGAGGCCTGCAGTGACAGCACCGCGCAGGTTGCGGTGATACAGATAGATCTAGAGAAGGCAATCGACCGTGTTAGCCATGATGTTCTTTTTGATGTTTTAAGTCATGTCAATGTTGGTGACGCCATCCTAAAAGGTGTAAAGATGGCCTAAAAGGACTGTACAACAAGGCTTATAGTGAGCAAAGAGCTCAGTTCTGCTATTAACGTACGAGAGTCGGTACGACAAGGATGCCCTATGTCTCCCCTTTTGTTTAATTTGTATTTAGAGCTTTTTTGTTTAAGCGTAAAAAATAGTCAACGTGTCCGAGGTTTCCAATTTTATAATGCAGAAGTAAAAATAATAAGTTACGCCGATGACATTGCTGTTTTTTGTAGGGACAAAGAAAGCGTCACCGAAGTCATAACTTTGGCTAACAGGTTTTGCCACGCTACTGGTGCTGTTATAAACTGGGAGAAGTGCCGTGGTTTCTGGCATGGCGCTTGGGCCACTACACCCTCAGAATTTAAGGGTGTATGCTGGGACACAGTGCCGTGAAAGTACTTCGGGGTGCCATTGCAAAGTTTCCGGAATAGCCAAACGTACTGGCCAGGTGTCGCTACCGACCTGGACAGGCGTGCTTCTCGTTGGAAGCAACGCGAGCTGTCCATTTTTGCCCGAGCGACTGTTTGTAACGTTTTTCTTATTGCGCAGCTCTGGTATGGTCTTCAGGTCATCCATTGTGCGCGAACTAATGTTCAAAAATTTCATGGAATTTTTGCCACGTTTATTTGGAGCTCGAAGTATGAGCCGATGAGACGAGACAATCTTTTTCATCGAGTTTGTAACGGTGGCGTGGGGCTTTCCCACCTTTTTGTCAAGCAGCTTGTGTCACGCTTCTTTTTTTTTTTTGAGAGACCAAGAGCACCCGTTCATTCGCACACTGATCCAAACAAAAGTGTCACCACAATTGCCATCTTTTCTTGTTTCTTCTCATGGCGGCGAGCCAACAAGAATCACTGGGTTCTTAAGGAGGTTGTTGACACGATGGGGTTTTTGACAGCACGTTTTTCTTTGAATTACCTTTGTGATGTCAGCAAAAAAGCGCTCTATCGTGATTTAGTGTTGAGTGTTTTCCCCATGCCCTTGTATCGAGGTGTGTCCCAACGTGGCCATGATGTGCTTAGACGTGTAAAAAGGATGTGTGTTCCCGCGGCTATTAAGACTTTCTTTTATAAATTACACACGGATACCTTGCCAGTTAAGGTTTGGCGTAAAGAAAGAGGGATCTATGTGTCATGGTCGGTCAATTGCCTTCTACGTAAAAAAACCTGAGACTATTGAACATGTGTTTATTTTTTGTTGGGACGCGGTATTTTTCTGGGATATCCTCCAACGCACTTTAAAGAAAGAACTACCTGTAACCCCAACAGGGATACGTTTGCTTAGTGTGTATAATGATAATGAAGTTCCTTATGACATGATTATCTTGTTAGCTTTGTGCAGCATTTGGAGATCACGTATGGCTGTTCGACATGCTGACCTCGACGCAAAAGAGGTGCGGATATATTTCTTCAGCCTTGTAAAACAAGTACAGAGTGTGTATTTGAACTGTGAACCTGAACCGGAGTGGGCCAGTATTTTAAAATCACTCCTCGAAATGCGTGATTTTTAATACGCTGTGCAAAAGAGCTGTACAACGCCGTTAGAATGACATGAATGTTGCAGTAACTACCATGCAATAAAGAAAAGAAAAAAAAAGGGATCGGTGGCCGAGTGGGTTAAAGCGCACACCCAGCTCGACGCGCGTGGAGCGAAAGCTCGCGCTGCAGAACCAGGGATCCTGGGTTCGAGCCCCACCCCTGCCCGTTTCGATCTGGATGAGCATCGTACCGGCGTGCGGTCGTGTATCAAAAGTGCGTGGTGCACATTAAAGACCCCAGGCTAGCGGTTGTACTGCAGAGGCTAAATTGCTCATCAACAGCGTGTGACTCGTCGCGACTTGAAATGGCTGACCAACTACACGCTGTATAAATATCCCAACAACCCAATTATTAATTATTATTAGGATATCCAGCGCTTTACTCATAACAATAGCTGTCCTTATTTTTTCATTTCCTTTTTTTTTTTTTTTTTCAGCATTTAGAAGTGTCTTGCCGCTTTATAAAAGAGGATTTGGTTTTCGAGAAAAGGAACAGAAAATACCTCAAACGGTGAACAAAGAGCTCACGAATATGAAATGTCATTGGCCCAATAAAGAGGATGACGTCTGCTAGGGCAGGGAGCTTGGTTGGAGATGTGATCAATCCCTCTCACTTTTTCTTACTTCCTCTCTTGGGTGTGAAGAGACGTGTTTTGATCGACTGCCTGTCCATGTGGAGTCCAGATGTAAATTAGGGAAGATTTGAAACTTCAATAGCCCAAAATAAACCCTCTCATTAACTCCTACACTGAGCTCTGAAAACCAACGTTTCTGATTGAGAGAGAGAGAGAAAAAAGGGTCAATCAAGGGCAAGAGCGAGAAGGAGAGAGAGAAGTGAACCCGACCGCCCTTCCCAGGTGTCCACTTGGTGGAGTCAAAGAAAGAGAAAATAAATTTAGTGGTAAGAGGTAAAGCAAGAAAGGAAATCGATGAAAAATGGTCGTACGACAAGAAGTAGGATACGATGTTAGTCACAGAGACGCGAGCTATGAAACTTCATGACAGGTTTGGAAGCACTGTGGCCGTCAGGAGAACGCTCGTGTGTTGTTAATTAACGCGTTCTGCTACGGCCTATGCGGAGCGCAAGTTCGTCTGCTTCTTTTGCAGGGGTTTGGATGATTTTGAAACGCCGAGCTGTGATTGGCTGTGATTGAAGGATAAGGAGTAGACCTCAAGGTAGCTAGCATCGAGGTCTACCCACTATCCTTCCATTAGAGTCAATGAGATCTCGGTGTTCTGAAATCACCATAAACCCTGCAAAAGAAGCAGACGAGCTTGCGCTCCGCATTGACTATAGGCTCTTTGAACGTGACGATCGACATGCAGTACCTCACATATATTTACAAACGTCTGTGAG